GCGCGCCGCCTGTGTATGTATAACAGGTTTAATGACATCGCCTCAGTCTTCGTTTGACGTTATACCCTCGCGCTGGGAAGTGGCCGCCGCCGCGCATCGCAGCGTTAACAGGCGTGACAGGCTGTGATTTACTTGCGCTACGTAGCGAGCACATGCCTCTTTGCTGATGCGTCGCCGTGACAATGCGTGGCAGGAGTCCAGCGGCGGCGGCAGCAGCAGTAACGGTAGCAGCAATAGCAGCAATAGTAGCAGTAGCAGCAGCAATAGTAGCAGTAGCAGCAGCAACAGCAAGAGCAGCAGCAGCAGTAGTAGTAGTAGTAGTAGTAGTAGTAGTAGTAGTAGTAGTAGGGACAGCAGCAGCAGCAGGAAACCAGACAGCAAGCAGCAGCAGGCAGCAGGCAGCAGCAAGTAGCAGTTAGTAGTAAGTATAGCTAGCAGCAGGCAGCAGCAGGCAAGTATCAGCGCTAAATCAGACTCCGCCGCTGCGCGCTGGCAACCGCTCAGTCCTGCGTCTTTCCGGAGCCCCGCGATGTGTGCGTGTTTGTGCAGCTGCTCAGGCGTAAAATCTCCCGCCGTCCGCACGCACGCCCGCTGAACAGGCACTGACAGTACCGAAAGCGACGACGTCCGCTGCGCAAAGGACCGCGCAGCCAGCGTCCCGCACCGTCACACGTTTGCAATCACAGCTTTGCCGTCACAGTTTGCGTCAGAGCTTGCGTCCTAGAGAAGTCGTGTGAGGTCTGCCGAGGTTGTGTTCCGTGTCATGGTTACGGTCGACGCTTTCGGCGGGGGATTCTTGAAGTGTCAGGTCGAGACTTGATTATTGGCGTAGAGCGGCGACTTATTTCGTTGTTGTAACGTGAAAGAGCGCTGAGATGCCAAAGGACAAGCATTACGGTCGACGAAAGTACACACCTGCGAATGTAGTGCTGGATTGATGGCTGTAGCACCCATAAAGAGATAACATTAGTAAGTGATATGTAATGCAAGTTTTCAAATGTTGTAAGAACATACAACGTTCGACAACGCACGATCTCTTATGCGTCATAAAAACGGTATGACAATGACATGACAATACAACACACATGTGGCATCTGCACAAACACAGGCAGCACGCTACCACACACGACGCGGCGACGCACCACGAACCACGCAACGCACACTCACGCGCGCACGGCACAGACGCGCGCCAACGCCACACACGCGCGCACGCAGCGACAATGCGGCGCACGCCGACGACGTGCGCGCCACGCACGCGCGCGCAGATCGGCACACACAGGCGCAAGCACACAGGCGGCTGCCAATGCACACACAACGCGCGCCACGCACACACGCGCTTTACGCGCCGCGCGTGCACGCCCACGCGGCGCGGCGCACACGCACACACAGGCGACAAACACCAGCAAGGCACGGCGCGGACGCACAACACATCGCCGCACAGCACAAGGGCACACGCACTTGCACGCACCACGTCACGCGCGCGCAGCGCCGAGCGCAGTGAGGGGGCACCCACACGCGCACGGCACAAGTCCAAACACGTGCGACGCGCACGCGACAGCGCCAGCGCGCTGCACGCACACACGCGCATAGCGCCAGCACGCGCGCGCACGGCAACTGCGTGCGCGGCACGACGACACACACAGGCGCAAGCACACCCCGCGCGCCACGCACCGAGGTACCGCGGCGTACAACACAGCGCGCGCAGACGCACGCGCGCGGCACACGCACACACAGGCGCAAGCAACAACAGCGCGCAACGCCACACACGCACGTACACGGCACCACGCGGCGCAGCACACACGCAGCGCGCGCGCAGCAGCAACACAACGCGCACGCACGCAGGCGCGCACGCGCAAAAGCGGCGACGGACGGAGGGGAGGTAGGACGCGAGCTGGCAAGACAGCAGCAACACACCGGGCGCCGCGCGCACGCACACACTCGGGCGCTAAGCACACGAGGCGCGCACGCACAACACGTGCAGCGCGGCGGCAACGCGCACAGGAGGCACCAGCACGACAGACAACGACCGGG